ATCAAGTTATACCTAAAAATTGGACCATCTGAAAAAAAAAAACAAAACAACAAACAAGTCATCAGCATCACTTGGCAGTCCTGAACTGTAGGAAAAAAGTCATCCCAGTACTTCCAGTGTGTCCTGAACATTCTTTGCTGGAGAACAAGCGCGGACCTTTCAACGTTCCATTTCGTGGGGACAGGAAATCCCACATATTTTAAAGACAAATTAAAAACAGACTAGATTAATTTAAATTCGTAGTTTAAAGCAACTTTTATGCAGAGTTGTGAATGACTGAAGGATACTGAAATGAAACCTCTCTCTCGCCTCCTTGATGTCTTCAACAAATGCACTAGTTGCAGTGACTCAGCATGATGCAAGGTATTAAATGTGCCCAAAACTCTTCCAGATAGTTGGACTTCAACAGCACAAAATAACAGGAAGCCCAAGTTCTGCAGAACGTATTGAAATACATCAGCAGATGTATTTGGACATTGGCAAATGGAAGAGTTGTGTAATATTAACGTATCAGCCACAGCAAACCAAACCAAACCCCTAGGAACTTCAAGGCTTGACAACACAGGCTCTGCCTCATGCCCTTGGCATCCAGCATCCCTCCCACCAACTACTCCCAAACCCAACAAACAGCATGTTCACAGAAACACCTCTTTTCCTTTTTGATACTTGAACAAAATAAGTACGTACCGACAGCTAAACACTTGATCACATGTAAGCTTCAAAGTCCTGCATCTTTTTAGATGCAATCATGCCTCAAATAATTTGTAAAAAGTCAGAACAATCACAATGACACATTAGCTGACATTTCTTAAAATCTGTGGTTTGTGTGCAACCAAGAGGTGGCTTTGTTCACCAAAAGGACATTCTCATGCATCAACAGGTGAATTTTCTGTCAAGCATAAGCTCAGCACTGGATTTAATAAGATTATAATGTTTTGAGATAAATGCATTCGGGATGTTTAGCCACTGGATATTTGATTCCAAAATCAGCAACTCACACAATCTCAACTTCAAACCCAAACCACAAAATAGAGTAAAATAAATCTGTGCGTGTCAGGCTGGTTAAACTCTCAGAAGAGACAAAGCCTCCTCCTGAGCCTGGTGGATTATCCAAACTACCAAATAAAAACAATTAGAAATAATTATTCTAGGCGATACAGAAGGAAGTTGGTGACTAGCTGAACCCCAAGTCTTACAGCATACTCTTAAAACTCAGAGCGTGCCTGCCTTCATAAACATCCAGGAACACAATCCCATTCTTTCTGTTCTAATGTTTTTAGGTTCTGCCTCCTCACAACACTGAGGAGTTACTATGTTTCAAGAACATATTAACATTATCCCCAATCGAAAATCGCTTCCATGTCACTGAAGTCCATTTACTCCCGCATTACATGAATGGATAAACAGAAGCAGAAACACTACGACTGATCCAACACTACTTCCTAACCGCTTTTTCATACACACACACAACCTCCTCATAACATCCTTTTTAAACCTGAAATTTCAGGGGAAATTTACTGTTCATCATCTGCTCTACGCTCTGTTCTTTCTCCTCATAATGAATTATCAAACGTGCACAATGCTTAATAGAGTTCAAGACATTCATGAGGTTGCATAACACCACTTCCAGCCCTTCTATTCCACAGCTCCATTTACCTGAAGCTTTCAACAAGAGCTTTGTTTAAGCTTATCTTTGCTGCTTTCACAGAGTTTCTCTACCCTCTTCAAAATAATTCAAAAGCACCAATATTTCTGTGGGCCTCAAATTCTGCTGCTTGCATTTTCTACTGAGAAAACCCCACATTTTTACCTGGATATAAAATAAAGCAGTTTAATCTAATACTCGCTTAACAGACTCCAAAAGTTTTAACAGACTATGGATGTTTTAGAAGTTTTTTTCTTGCCCCCCCCCCCCCCCCCCTTTTTTTTTTTTTTTTTTTTTAAAGAGCAGAAGAAAATGCCTTACTTTCTTATCAGCACCACTTAACTCTGAATTTACACTGGCTTTTTCTTTCCCATTATTGTATTATTTAAACAAGGACTTCTATTCTACTTCACCCCTCACTAAGAAGCTGGATAATTTTCTTCCAATCTTGTGCTCTGAAAAGAAGTACTCTGCCCTTTCTAGGAGAACTCCAAAAGTAATGCTTCCTATTTTATTATGTTGGTTCTCAGCATTAGAAGCAAATGTTGGTGGTATGGCAGTAAAGGTTTGAACCTTTCAATAGGTTCAAAGGAACCCATCAATATTCCCTTACGTGTTGTAGCTGTGCAACAGATGGCAGCAGAGGGGCAGTCTGACAAAGTGGCATCTGACATGGAAGTGTGCACAAAGCAAAGGTGTGTCAGTCTACTCTTACATGAGGAAAAAGATCCACTCACTGACGTTCAGTGCTTGCTGAATGTTTATGAAGGCCAAACAGTGGACGTGAGGTGGTGCATTTCACCAGCAGTGACAGCAGTTCACCTCCACTGGTGCAGATTTTGACAAGTGAGGCACGCAGGCTCTTGTTCATCACTGGCAAAAATTCATAGCTAATGGTGGTGACTACACTGAAAAAATAGTATTTTGGACCTGAGAATTTGCTTTATCAAATAATGTTACTGTACTCTGCTGTAGTTTCTGTGAAGAGAAATAGAGAGGCATTACTTTTGGAGCAACCCACACAGCTTGTTTGCCTATTACATCATTCCAGAATCTCTTGTGTAGGGTTCAGACACTTCAAAATCCCACAACACTTAACCAAGCATGTAATTTTTTCAATGTCTTTTACTTTTCTTAACTAGATCCTAGCCTACCAGACTCCCCCTAATCTCTTTGACCATCAGAAGTATTTAATGGATTTGATTAAATTTACCTACTTGTCACTGCTCTTTCATTTTCATTTGTGTTTCTAACTTAAATTAGAACCAATAACCACGGTTCACATCACTTACTTTTAATTTTACCTGCCGCATTTTATGCTTTTTCACATAAACTTGATTTTCATTTTCTGGAGGGCGCTATTTTGGCTCCATTAACTTCATGCTTCTTGCCACAGAGTTATATCTTCCAACCTATCTTCTTGACAGTTGCCTTTAAAGGCATCATTTCCTTAATGCCATTGTGTTCTTAAGAACATGAGTTAAGCCCCCCTTTGCCCCACCAGAACTCATAAAACACTTCAAAAAGAATTCCACCGTTTCATGAAGAGACAAATATCAAAGCAAGCCTGCCAGATACAAGCAGTCTAAAAACAAAAATACCTTTCTGTTCATCTTACTCAGCTGGACAAAAAAAGGGGGAGAAAGCATTGTGCTGAAACACTGAATTCGTAATAAGACTGTCAATCTGGTTAAATAAACATTTACAACTAAGAGCCTTTCAGAAACTGCCACACCATCAGAAACCTGTACTACTACTTGTTTCAAAAGTGCCTAAGGAAAGTGCTGCTGAAACGGACTACTGCTGCCTCTCCCTTCCTAAACTGTGAATTCCCCAGTAAGCAGCTCTGATCTCACTGCACATGACCACATGGGCAGGCCAAGTCTGACCACACCAACACAGAAGGCACAACATCAGAAAAAGTCAATGGATGGCACGCTGATGGCAAAAAGGAACATCCTGGTACAGAATTGCAACTAGGGATCAGACATGACAAAGGAACTGTTTAGAAGCCTGGGAGAGGGGAGGAAAGTTATAGCCCCAACAAATGTCATGTTCTCTTGAGCTGAAGAACCACTGGATCTTTAATAAAAAAGAAACATGGGTCCCTATTCTGAGGAAAACCTTCCACATCATGGTATGTTGCCAACTCTCAAACTACTCCTAATTTTGTCTGTGCCTATAGGCATGTCTCCACGTAATTAAAAGTTGCACGTGTCATTCAAGCTGAAGTAAACTTGTTTTGAACTAGCTAGTTCATATCAGTGCGAACCATTAAGGTAGCGGGGAGAGCAACATAATAAAAACAAAGACAGACATAGCAAAGATTAGTTTGAGACTAACTATTAATTACTCAGTATAAACAAGATTGCTTCCATCTATGTAGCTTCTAGCTATAACATTGCAATCCCATCTCTGGATAGCCCACAGACATACCCAAACTTCTGAAGTTAATTATTACTAGTAAGCAGTTAGGGTAGAACACACACCAGAGAGCAAAAGCTCCAGAGAAACAGAAGCTCCAATAAAACAGAATAAAGCAACCGCTAAACAAAACCATTTGGGAGTTCTGCAGAAAGAGCAGATCACTATTTTCACAGCTCATGATGTATCACTGAGCCTGAAGTTTCAGTTTTCATTAAACGCCCTCAAGAGGCAAAGCTTAAAACCATCCTCACATGTGTTTCAGTAGGAGGGAACAAACGCAAAGACTATGAATGGGGCGAGTTCCTGCCGGCTGTAAGACCGCCGGTTGCCTGACAATTACAAGTGCCCACAGCACGAGCCTTCGCCGCACGCAAGAAAGCAGAGATGGTACTGTAGCTGGAATAACTTCAGAAAGCGAGATAACGTTTGCAGCAAGAAGCAACAGCTCTTGCCAGACGAGCTAGAGACCGCTACCGTGAAGAACGGCGGGCTTAAAGACACGCGAGAAAGTTTCCCTGCCGCTCAGACCGGGCCCCGCCTCCCCTCACAGCGCGGTCCCCACACCCACCACCATGCCGCTCAGTTCGCCTTCCCACAGCTGAGCGCGGCCGCTACGCACTCGGAGCCCAGCGCTCCGCCGGCCTCTGCCAGGCCACGCGGGAAGGCCGTCGCTCGCCCACTTCCCAGAAGACCGCCCCGGTGCCGCGCGGCGCCTCTGCCCGAGGCCGCAGCCACCGGCCCGACCCGCCCGCCAGAGCCGCCGCCCGCTGCCCGCCTCGTGCCGGCGGCTCCGGCCATACGCACGCCGCAGACCGGGCCGCGGCGCTCCCCTACGCGGCCCCGCTCGGCACCCGGCTGCTGCCGCAGCCCTCCTTCTGGCGGCTCGGCCGGGCGCGCCCTCCCGGCGGCAGCCCCTTTACCCCCGTACCTGCGGCCCCGGCCCAGCCCCGCGCTGTCTCCTCTAGGGCCCGAGGCGCGCGAGCGCCGCTCCCTGCCTCCCTGCCTGCCCAGCGCTGGCAGCCGATGGCACTGCGCCTGCGCCCGGCAGGATGCGTCACTTCCGGCTCGACCGCTGCGCCCTGTGGGACGGGGAGCCCTTCCGGCCTGTCGAGACGCGCTCAACCGCGCGGCCGCAGCGCCCTCATTGGGAGGGACTCCCGCTCCTGGCATGGAGCACGCGCGAGATTCGAGCCCGCGCAGCCGCAGGTGAGTGCGCGGCGCTCCGTTGGGGAGTGTGTCAGTGGGCCGCGTGGCATGCCGGGAGCTGTAGTGCAGCGAGTGCCGGTCTCGTGGCCGGCGCAAAAAGTCAACTGCGGTATACGCTGAGACAGATGCATTTATTACGCTGCGTGATTTTATATCGAAAGCACAGGCACAGCGGCAGGAAGGGGTGCCCTCCCAGCACCTTGCTGTGTCTTGGCCCATGGAACAGGCTGCCCAGGGCAGTGGGCACGGTCCCAAGCTGCTGGAGTTCAAAGCTTTCAGACATCAGGTTTGAATTAGTTCTAGTTAGTGCTGTGTGGAGCCAGAGGTTGGACTCCACGATCCTTGTGGGTTCCTTCCAACTTGGGATATTCTATGGTTTTATCATTCGATGGAAGCAAAGTCATTTAGGGTTGCAAAGGACTTGCATGGGGATGCTTAGGGGAGAGTCCACAGGCGGGAAAGGGAGGGATTCCAGTTACCTGTGTGGGAACAAGCATGAGAATGCTAAGAGAAAGGGCTGGCTGCACATAATAGCTTTTGTAAATAGCCTGCTCAGTGCCATCTGTCCTATGCTTTTGTCGTAGCCCTTTGGGCTTTTCTCTGGGTGAGGGCTTCCTTCACTGTATGCTTAGGGCCCAGGTGCCAGCAGTCAGCAGGGCTGTGTAGCTGTGCAGCAACACCAGGGTGAGCAGATAGATGTGGGGTGTGTGGGAGTGGGAATCCTCCCAGCAGCTGGTGAATGGGAGCAGGGCTGGAGGGCTAGGGGCTGCAAGGCAGAGCTTCTGCCAGAGGGCCAAGGTCAGCCATCCGCCTGGATAGGGATGGCAGGCTCCTGGGTCCAGACATAGAGGCTCTGGGGCTTGATATGGTGGGCTCTGGGGACCAGACTTGGGGTGTTGGCTCTGGAGTCAATGGGTCCAAGCCAACTCCAGCTGTGCCTGGGGCATAGTCTGTGCCAGCTGACTGAAGCCCCAGAGCTTGGATGTTCAGGACCAAATGCTGGGAAGGCTGGAGCCAAGTCTGTGGGGTTATACATCTGTATGACCTTCCATCCTGCTCAGCCAGAGGGATGCTGTTTGAAGCCACTGAGAGTCCGTGTTCACATGAGTGCCTTCTGTGACTGGCTCCTTATCTGTGTGGCTGTCCGTGTATATATGCATATATGTGGTGTATGTGTGTACTTGCACTTGTACCTACTGGGAATGCAAGCTGAGCCTGGCCACTGTTAGGGGCTGGGGGCATGGAGTGACAGCCTCACTTCTGAGCTAGCATATCTGGTCCAATTTTCCCATAGCAATATATATGTATATCCAAATACATATGACGTGTATATGCACATATATATTTACATGAATATGTACTTATGCATGTCATATTGATAGATACATTTCATAAAACTTTTGTGTAGCACAGTATGTCAACCCCGTGGAATTGAGATAAGAGAGGTTAAAGCATGCAGGCAACAGCTTTCTCCCATAGCATTTGCATGACAAAATAAGTAAGTTGCTTGTTCATTTCAGAGATGTCACATTACTTGCATCCTACCATGCACATAAAGTACTACATGCTACTTATGCACATCTGTACTGCAGCATGATTTCTAGTTGTAGTACTGGTTGGTTGGTGTGTTCCTGAAATTTCTTGAATCATATCAGCACAGGTAACAATTACAGCAGAAATCTGCAGGTTCTCCTGTTTTTGCTGAGAGTGTAATTTCAGATGCAGCTGTTCTAATATGGCATGGTGCTGCAGGTAAAAAAAAAAACAAGTTCCTAATTCCTGTTGCCTTTACTGATAAAATTCAGATAGAAGAGGCTTTATTTCTAACACCTGCTTCGGAAGCACTTAATATTAGTAATCTGGGTTAATTCATCTGGAGAGTTTATTCCTAAACAATTAGTACAGAATTTTGAGAAGCAATTTGCATAAAAGTGAAGTGTGCAAGCAGTATGTTTTTAAGCACAGTGAAAAAGTCAGTGACAACATTAAAGAAGTTGCCATGGGTAAAAGCTGAAGAATGGCTGTAAACTAGAGGGTGAAGGTGTAAGGGACAAACACACCAGTGATAATGTCATGATTGGGTGAAATATGGATTCACACTTATTCCTGCTGGCCATGTTTTTACCCAGTGCAGTGGGATGATACAGAATGGTACCACAATAACACAGCCCTTTCTAAAAAAAGGCCACAGAGCCAGACTCCTAACCATATTTAGCACTACTAAATCACAATTGGCACAAGCAAGCTTTGGTTGTCACCTACTGACATTTCATTCAGCCTAAAAATGAAAACGTGGTTGCCTGCACTGCCAGTGTCTCACAGATAGGAACAAAGAAAGATAAGGCAAAGCAAGACACTTGTTGCAATTTAGGATCTTAGAGCTGTCACCACAAAAGGAAGAAGGTGTTGTCCCGCTGGGGAGAAGCACTAATACTTCAGCAACCAGAGAGAAGGAAGCAGGGATGCTGGCTCAGCTCCTTTGTCCTCACCATCTAGGGATGACAAATCTATTGATGCTGTTTGCACCCACCACTGAGGTGCCAGTGAGAGCGGGGGACACAGTGATGGCCAGAACAGCAGAAACCGCGGGTTGATAGGGACGCCAGGAGTCGAGGCATAAAGGATGAGAGTGGGAGGAAACTGACACAGAGATCTGGGAAACACTCTGTTGTTTTCTTCTTAATGCCTGGGGCAGAGGACATGCTCTGTCCCGCCTCTCTTGCATCCTCACCATAAAGTATATCTCCAGTAGTGACAGTGTTAACAAATACAGTGGAAGAAACAGCTCTGAAAGCTGAGCCGCTCAGTCACATGCACAGGTTTTATTTTTAACATCCTCAAACTACTTGATGTTTCTGCTTCTGCTTGCTCTGTCTCCTCCCGTCCTCTCCTCTTTCTTTGCTTCCAGTTAGCCCTTACCCACCTCGCTTTAACCCTGCTGAGCAAAACCAAGAGAGCAAGTGTTTGGTACAAACACAGGGACTCTATGATTAAGGTAAGTCTTTGTAAATAGAATTTCAGTCTTTATTGGTGAAACCTTATGCAATGCAATGGTTACTGTATTAAGCTATGAAAACCAAGATATCTTCCAAAGAATCTTAATAATTAGGATGAAGTAGAAAAATCAGACACAAGATGTGTTAAATGGCACCTTAGAATGGAGGCAGCTGATAACTGAACACTTCTGTGACAGGCTACTCTGCAAAGAAAAGTGCTCCATAATGTGTGCATGGTTTGCAGCACTGTATGTGGGATTTTAAAAAGCTAAAACACTGACTCTTAAGCAGGAACTTCAGTACCAGGACAGATGATAAATTAAAAATTCAATTTCTGCAATTTTTTAGAAACTCAAAAATGCTAAGTCTTCAAATCCAGTGGCTTTGTAGATTCAGACTGCAAACCATGTGCTTTTAGTCCAGAATAAATAATAAGATGATGAGTGAGAATTTACAAGTGTTAAAGGTACTACTCCACTTTTTAGAGTTGTGGCTGCTTAGCAATTTTTATTCACAAATCTTCTCACTTTTCTTTTTATAAGACTTAGACCTTAAACAAGAGCACTGAAATTCTTTGTACTGCGCATCTGTCTTTGGCTGAGTTTCTTTTGTTTTCCTTAATCCCATTCATGTGATTGTCTCTTGTCTCAAGAATTTTTCAGAAAAGTATATTAACGAAATTGTTGTCAGGGAATGAAACACAACCTGAGCCCAAACCAAACCAAAACAAAGCAGTTCGGATCATACTTCTTTCCCCACCCCCCTCAAACTGCAGCTAAACTGAAACCTGTTATTTTAAAGCAATCACTGAACTCAGTAAGCCCCTTTGCCAGGTACAGATGCACTGATGCACAGTGACAGTTTACTTAACTGCGTTTCTCTCAAGGACAGCCCAGGGACTTTCACGTGTACTGCATAGCAGATGCCTGTCACATTTCGCTTCCCAGCTCCTGCTATTGCTCCAGGTCTGTGTGACCACGTCAGTACAAAGAATTTTTATGTGGGTCTATCTCAGATGAGTTGCTACTGGGTTGTTACAGGTAGGGAAGAGTGAGAAATCTGCTGACCTGGCACTCCTACAGGTGAGTGCTGTGTGGGGTTTCCATCAACGGTGCCTCGGTGCTCTGAGCCCTCCCATGCTCCTCTTGCAGCAGCACTGGTGCATTTGGCTGTGTGGAAATGGCACGTGCAAGTGTCTGTGCCTCTCCACTGTGATTTACCAGGAGAGAAGAGGCCTGGTGATGCAACAGCTTCTCTTTAGGTCCTGCACATCAGATTCTGGAAGCTGAAGAGAAACTGATGGACTGTTGTGGGAACCTGAGCAGCACTCATGATCTGAATGAAAAGCAGTGCACTGTGAAGTCTCTGCACAACTCATGCACTGCCTATGGGCATACCCTGTCCCTATCATTTTAAATATATTCTTATAGTATAAAGCAATTCCAACCAATTCAGCAACTTTAATCCAGTGTTTATTGTCATGGGACATCACATCCTCAGCTAGCTGGTCCCCTGCTGAAAAATACAGGGAACAGCTCCCTGATTGTTACAGTCCTGTCCTTCCATCTTTGGGCTTACCTAACAAGGCAGCTGTCTCATGGAAAAACTTTTCCTCTTCTTGTCTTATACCAGGGATTTGAGCTTCACCAGAAGGCTTGCCCAGGGTGTCCCTATAAAGTCCCTATGAACTTCTTCAAGGGCTAAGCCTTGAAGAAACTGTGCCTTACAAATGCTTGATAGTAGTTTATTACTGTTACAGGTGAAGATTTCATCTACACCTTTTGCTCTCCCTTTGCACCTACCCTG